CCCTTGACGAATACGTAAGGCGCAATTACTGTACACTGTTTTATTTCTGAGAGAGCTCTCTACTTCTATATTTTCAAGCTATCTCTGACACTATACGTTGAAGATAGATAGGTCAGTTAAATATTTAAGTTTAGTCTCATGGGGTAAATAAACTGTTTGGATTATAATTTGTGAAAAAGAAGAAGAAAATATATTTGACATAGGTCTTAACCAAGTGAAAGTAAGGTTGGAATAAGCTAATATTGTTGTAATTCTGAAGCTGCTTATAAGCATCTATAAATCAAATTTCATAATTGGATAGCTTAAATATATGTAATAATGAGATAATGCAAGATTCAACATCAATAATATGGCACTTATATATGTGTACAACATATGTATAAAAGTGCTTTAAGTGGTTATGAGATTGTTTTAACATTTTAATGTTTCACCCATCCATGCTTATTAGCACTTGTAATTTAGCAAGAAACTAAATAATTCATTAAATATAACGAGAAATAAACTTGAATACTTTTGTTTTTGAAAGCTAAACTTCAGTAAAAAACCCACTGAGAACTTTCGAAGGAGTTCTTGATAATGGAAGCAGAACCAGCTCTTGGGAACAACTCTGCTTTTTATAAAACCTTTTGAAGTGTCTATGAATAATTCTAGTTTACTATATTGAGCGTTCAGACTTAGAATTTCTCCCCGGAGAAAAAAAATGGATTGAAAAAGTAGAAGAGTTGTCAGAATAAGTTTTGAATGTTACAGAATTACAATGATGCATTCCCTTAGTTCTCCATTTTACTACGTCCAACAGGTAACTGAAATACAAATGTATTGGACTTTTATAACATTTTCTGCTCAATAACTTACATTAAAGCTTTTTTTTTCTGATATTAGAATGCCCACAGCGGAGAATCGTCAATTTGAGTAAGGGCATTTTATCGAGGTCTTATGGAAAGCTGAAAATAAAAGAATTGAAACATACATGAAAGAAACGCTAGCTTTTCAAGAATGACGCTTCAAGGAATTTCAGAGTTGTGTGACAACTTGTGAATATAATCAAAGAGGCGAAAGATGCAGAAATTAAACTGGATACTAGTACATTAAATTACTTTATTAAACTGATATGATCTGATGGGTTATTGTTCGGTTACGTGTATATTTGTTTGGTTATTTAACAGTTTACTACATTGAACCGTCATGTATATATATACACTCACAAGCCGTATTGCTTTACAGTCACACATTACTAGTTTCCAATTTAAATACATATATATAAATATCTATAGACTAATGGCAAACATCCACATTTGTCCAAGTATTTCCTTAATACAACTTAAGCATACAACCATTGAACATATATATTACTACAAGCAGGAAACTGTATGACTATAATATCTATAGACTAATGGCAAACATCCACATTTGTCCAAGTATTTCCTTAATATAACTTAAGCATACAACCATTGAACATATATATTACTACAAGCAGGAAACTGTATAACTATAATATCTATAAACTAATGGCAAACATCCACATTTGTCCAAGTATTTCCTTAATATAACTTAAGCATACAACCATTGACCATATATATTACTACAAGCAGGAAACTGTATGACTATAATATCTATAAATCGTTTAATTTTATTTGGAAGAACTTAGAGAATACTGTAATAATGTAATTAAAGTAATTTTGACTTAGTGCGTTCAGTTCTTAACCTTAAAAGTGACTTTGGACACTTGATATAATATTTCATTAGGCTGAAGTCTTAGTTGATTTCAGTTAATATTATGTATGTTTCTTGAAGTTCATTACAAATATATATATATAACCCTTATTGTGAAATCTAACGTATCTAGATGGCACAGATTTTAGTTACAATAAACTATGTTTATAACATTTAGTTTGTTTGTTTTATAGCAATCTGCTGTGTCCGCCCCGCTGGAATCGAATCCCGGATTTTAGCGTTCTAAGTCCGTAGACTTGCCACTGACCTATCGGGGAACAGCATTTAGTTAGAAGCGTTTTAATTCCATACCGTCTTTAAATCCTTCTCAATGATTATTGGATTGTTTTTAATTGTTTTTGCCCCACCTAGTGGCTCAGTGGTAAGTCTGAAGGCTTATAACGTTAAAATTCGGGTTTTGATAATCGTAGTGGGTACAGCACAGATAGTTCATTGTGTAGCTTTGCGCTTAACAATAAACATTTTTCCATATTCTTTATTTTATTATCTTCATATGAAATGTTTAAGTATTCAATTCCCCATACATATGTTCAAAAGCCTGACAAAATTGTAAATAAATTTACTACAATTTTGTTAAACTGCTGGTTAGAATGAGCTGACTACTGAGCTCGACCTATTTATAATCATACAACAACATTTTACACTAAGTATTGGAGGGTTGTTCGCTGAAACTTATTCATCGTTATTATAACAATTTACCACTTACTATAGGTACTCTCATGTTTATGTCAGTAAATAACTTCTGACATATCCAAGTTCAGAAAGCAACCTATCTTTAAGTTGTACTATAGTATTTTAAACATAAAAGTTATATTGGCAATATAAATTAACCATGCAAAGTACGTAAAATCCGTGCACGCAAACCGCCACAAGGAACTGTATTAAAGTGAAAGTTATCGATACTAAAAGGTCGGGACCTAAAAAGACTTGTAATACAGAAAAAACCTGAAGAAGATTTCTCTTTATTTAGCAAAACGAAATAAAAATTAGTTGGAAAAATAAAATGAAAAGTCCTTTTTTTTATAAAAAGATGGTTGAAAAGTTGCTACAATCTTTATAACATGCTGGGTCAGTATTTTAACAATAGGCTAACTAGATTTTTAAATAGAAATCCAATTAAATTCGACTTATTAAAAATACGAACTGCGTAATTAATAGTCCTGTGTTTAACAGTA